CTTTGCTCTCCTAAGCTCTCACCAACTTGGCCTCCCTCACAGGCAAGAGGCATCACGGAATCATTCTCAATCAATGAGAAGAAACTTGTGCAAATGCCTCAGCTGAACACCCAAGTTACATAAATTCCACAAAAATCTTTTATAGCAACTCTTTTTTCTAAGAGGAAAGATCATCCTTTTCTACCCCCATTTTACACCACAGATTATCTTGTTTTTGGCTTACAATTAAAATATTTATTTCCCAGAGATCAAGATGACTCTCCTCACTCCATCTCCTTTTTGTCATCCATTCATTCAGCAAACATTAAGGGCCTATCATGTGCACCTGTGACAGTTAAAAAAGAAACAAACATTCCTGGGTTTTTTGGTTGGTTTGTTTTTTTAATTAAGCCTCTCCTCCTATATAAGCTACCTCTGCTGTGAGTACAACCTGTCCTCCTGCCTAGACACATCCTTCTCCTCTCCAACACCTTCTGCCTTTATGTGGAAATTTCCAAGCCCCATGTTTGTATAGCAAGGTCTTCTCCTGGGCATCCTTGGCTTCTCCATACCTTTAATATTAGAGATAGAAAACCAATCAAGAGGTACTTTGGCCCTTGCTGGCCTCAATGAGCTTTCCTATTATGGACATGACAGTGCCATACTTCATACCAGGCACACCACACTTCAAATAGGATTAGTGGAGAGCTTCTGAAGCCACGTGGGCCATGTTCACAGGCAACCTCTCTGCAAAATCTTTTTTATTTAATTTTTTCTCAATTACATGTAAACAAAAAATTTTTACATTCTTTTTTTAAAATTTTGAGTTCCGAATTCTCTTCTGCCCTCCCTCCCTTTCATCCCTCCTCCTTGAAAAGGCAAACAATTTGATATAGAGTATACATGTGCAGTCATGCAAAACATTTTCATATTAGCCTTGTTGCAAAAGAAAACACAGACCCAAAAAACCAAAAACAATAAAGTAAAAAAAGTATGCTCCAATCTGCATTCAAATTCTATGAGTTCTTTCTCTGGAGGTGAATATGATTTTTCAGCCTAAGTCCTTCAGAATTGTATGGATCATTGTATTACTGAGAATAGCTAAGTCATTCATAGTTGGTCATTGTACAATATTGCCATTACTGTATACAATGTTCTCCTGGTTCTTCTCATTTCATTTTCATCAGTTTATGTATCTCCATATTTTTCTGAAAGCATTCTGTTCATTATTTCTTATAGCGCGATAGTATTCCATCACTCAGTATTCCATTAATCATATACCACAACTTGTTTAGCCAATCCCCAATTGATGGGCATTTCCTCAAGTTCCAATTCTTTGCCTTCATAAAAAGAGTTGCTATAAGTATTTTTGTAAAAATAGGTCTTTTTTCCTTTTCCTTTGATCTCTTTAGGATACAGACCTAATAATGGTATTGCGAGGTCAACACATTTCCAAACTGCTTTACAGAATGGTTGGATCAGTTCACAACTCCACCGACAATGCATTTGTGTCCCTATTTTTCCACATCCCTCCAACATTTGTCATTTTCTTTTTCTGTCATATTAGTCAATCTGATGTGTAAGGTTGTACCTCAGAGTTATTTTAATTTGCATTTCTTTAATTGATTCTCTGCAAATTCTTCATGATCTTCCTTCTTCCTTCTATCGCAGTTTGAAGATCTTCATGCCCTAGGTCTTAAAGACCTCTCGTTTTGTATCCTTCCCTTTTTTATCCTGTACCCATTCTCCTACTCTGAGTGTCTCATTTCAGGCCTTAAGACTTCACTTTGGCAAGTTAAAAACATTCCAGAATAAAGATCTATTGCTTTAACCACTACTAGTCTGTTTGACTCTAGGTAGCATAATGGAGGGAGCACTGGGCCTGGAGTCAAAAAGACTTGAGTTGAAATTTAGCCTCAGATATTTACTAATTCTGTGATCCTAGACAAGTCACTTAAACCCTGTCTGTCTCAACTTCCTCTTCTGTCAAATGTGGATAATAATAGCATCTACCTCCCAGGATTATTCTGAAGATGAAATGAGATATTATTTATAAAGTGCCACATATAGGCATAATATAAAAGCTCCATTATAACTATTGTTTTGTGAACATTTCTCTAAATCCCCAAATGGCTGGAATGGAGTGGGGCAGCTCTACACTGTGCTTGTCCCTTGTAGCCTGACTAAAATGTCGCTTCTTTACTTTCAGAGCATACCAAGCAATTAACCTCTTGAGCAACCATGCAATTTCTTCCCACTTGACCTGTAATTTACTCATAAAACAAGGCAATGAACATTTTCAGCAGATTACTCACATAAGTAATGACCCATATACCCCAAACCTAGTTTCACAACACACCTCAATGAACAAAATCCATCAGTAATTTTTAATGTCTTTAGGCCAATAATCCTAACTCAAAAAACAGTCCAGAGCAGGTTCCCTGATTATTCCTTCTGTTCTTACTAGCTCCATCTTAGAAGTGGAATGGAATTTAACCAAGCCACAGACATGTGGAGAGGCACATGAAGCATAGATAGATAGATGTCTGATCTGGGATCTGGCCCACTCTGTCTCTGGTGAGGCTGATTTCTACCTTTGGGATCAGAAAGAGGAAGGCTATGGCTGGGTGCTCTCCTATTTCTCTTCCACTCTCCTATTTCTAAGTGGAGTATTGGGATACAATTATTTCTACTATGCATCAGATATTTACAACCTAGGAGTACATTGCTCTTTTCCCTGGGTTCTGGATTTAGTGAGTTAACATTTATTAAGTGTCTGTGCCAGGTATTATGCTAAGCTCTAGGGATATACAGAGAGGCAGAAGACAGTCTCTGCTCTCAGGAAGCTCACCGGGTAAATTGGAGGGAAAAATGAGAATTGAATGGGATCAAGAAAGGCTACTTGTAGAAGGTAGGATTTCAGCTAGGACTTGGAGGAAGCCAGGGAAGCTGAGAGGTGGAGATGAGGCAGGAGAGAATTCCAGACATGTGGGCACAGCCAGTAAAAATGCCCTGAGCTGGGGAATGGTGTGTCATGTGCAAAAAGCCTCACAGACACCAATGTCACTGGATTGAAGATCAGGCAGAAGGGAGTAAGGTGTAAGAAGCCTGGAAAGTGGCAGGGGGAGGCAGGTACCAATGGATTTTGAACAGCAAATAGAGGATTCTGTTTGATTGTGGAGAAGATAGGAAGTCGTCAGAGTTTACTGAATAGAGGGGTGACTGTAGTCAGAATTGTGTTTAGGGAAGATAATTTAGCAATCCAAAAGTTCACACTGTCTTTGTCTTTGTCTCCTTCCCTCCCTTTTTCCTCTCTCTCCCTCCCTCTCTCTCTCTCTCATTCTTTCTCTCTCTCTCTCTCCCCCCCTCCTCCCTTTTTCCTCTCTCTCTGTCTCTGTCTCTCTCCCCCTCTCTCCCTTCCCCCTCTGACATTCACCCTCTCTCTTTTCCTCTTTCCTCCCCCCTCTCTCTCCTTCTATGCCTCTTTCCTCCTTCAGGTATATTCCTTTTTCCTCACAGGCTCAGAGCATCTCAGCATCCTAGAACTGTTTTTCAGGAAACCTGGACAAGGGTGTTAGTAGAGGTTTTGCCTACTTCCAAGGAGAGCTGACCCTGAATTATGAAATTATCAAAATCTAGTATCTTGTGGTACAGTGGATAGAGCACTGGGCCTGGAGTTAGGAGGACCCAAGTTCAAACCTGGCCTTAGCACTTACTAGCTATATGACCCTGGGCAAGTCACTTAACCCCAATTGCCTCCAAAAAACCCCCCAAAAACAAAATCTAACATCTTTGGACACCCCACTCCCATGTACTTAGTGTCCTCATGATGCCCACCATCACCACCACCACCATAACTGCCCAGAAGTCATTACTAAGGTAGCTCAACACTACCTTTGGTGAAGGACAAACGCTCTAGAACCCCACACCCTGCAATGTTCTGTGTTCCAAAGGAACTAATGGCAACTAATTTCTAGAGAATCACACTATTGAATTAGAATTCCACAGATTTGGAAGCCATTTAGTGTAAACCACAGCTAAATATGAATTTCCTCCAAAACATACTGGTGGTATGGTAGGTGGTCTTGTAGGTTTTGCAGGGGAACCTGCAGCCTCTCACCACATTCCAAGGCAACACTTCTGGATCACTCTAATTGTTCAAATGGTTTTCTTTATATCAAGCCTAAATTTACATCTTTCCGTACATTGCTACTACTAGAGTCAATCAGGACATTTCTTCCTCATTGCCTGGGTGCCAAACTACCTAGACTACATCTGTTCATCTGTTCCCCTTGCTTTGACTATTTGGCAACTTTTTATTTCACATATTTTTCAAATGAGATAGTTTATACTGCCTTGTGCATACAGTTCATCATTGGTAAAGGGTTTTTTTGTTTTTTGGGTTGGGTTTTTTTTTTTGTGTTGTTTTATTTTGTTTGGTTTTTTTGGCAATTGGGGTTGGGTGACTTGCTCAGGTTCACACAGTAAGTGGCTGGGGTCACATTTGAATTCAGGTCTTCCTGACTCCAGGGCCTGTGCTCTATCCACCGTGCCACCTAGCTGTCCCCATCGATAATATTCCTTAGCCTTTTCACATCCACCTTCCATCTCTCTATTTTCCTTTGATGGTGACACACAATACTGATTCCTAGGAGACTGGCTTCAGAGCCATACGAGCATCACTGGAAGAATATTCAAGTTAGAAAGATGGGTTTTTGTTTCAGGGAAATGTTTGCACCTAGGAAGAGTGCTGCATGAATTCCCAATTCAATAAAGCCCATTCTCTTCCTTCTTTTCAGTGCCAGGCTCAGTTCATTATCCACCTGCAGTGTTTTTCTTAAGATGTATCTACCCACACGGCCCGGCGGCAGTGCTTGCCCTCGAGTCGCCTCGTGAGAGTCAGGGTCCGCGGGCGGCCGGCGGAGCGAACCCCGGTGTGCGCTGAGGGACGGTGGGCACGAGGCTGCGGCGGCGCCCCCTCTCCCCCGCCCGTACCCTCCCCGCAGAGCGCCGGCGCCGGCATGGGGCTGCATTCCAACCTCTCGGTGCGAGCAGACTACATCACAGCTGTGGCCCCGGCTGCTGGCACCGCTGTGGTGGGCTACCTAGCTTACAAAAGGTTTTTGGTGAAACAAAAAGGCTACGGTTCCATGGTCAACCCTACCATCCAGAAAGACAGCCCCAAGACTGTCCACGCATTTGACGTGGAAGACTTGGGAGAGAAAGCTGTATACTGCCGCTGTTGGAGGTCCAAGAAGTTCCCATTTTGTGACGGTGCCCACACAAAGCACAAGGAAGAAACTGGGGACAACGTGGGACCACTGATCATCAAGGAAAAAGAGGCGTAATCAGTGGACAATGTAGACTGATTTGTCCTAATGTTGCTGATTGTTTTACAAGGCATTATATTACTTCTGTCCAATTTCCTTTCCCCCAGGGTTCTGTGTGTTTCTTGTAAGTTAAGGCTTTCATTTATGTGCCCTCTGCCTTACTACTTGTCCAAACACCGTGGTGACACTCACTGTAAAGAATCCTCCTGGCCTGTGGGTTGTTCTTCTGTCTTGTAGGGATTGTGTTCATCGGTTTCTTCAAATTTCAAATAATGACAGGATATCCTTGGATCTGTATGTTGATGTTAATATATTAAATTATTTTCAAAATCATGTATATGCAAATTGTAATTGCATGCCATGAGCAGATTCGTCACAAAGTCTCTCTTCCAAAAAGAGGACAATTTCTTTGTTTAAAACTAAAAATGCCTGACCTGTCTGGTTGAGAATTTGACTTTTTACTCAGCGCACAATAGATGAGGAAATAGAATGTTTGAAATGTATTTGCAGAGTTTATGATCCAAAGGAAATCTCCATTTTGAGGGGTTGTCAGTATTTATACATAAATTGTACTATCATCAGGGAATGGAGAGAAAGATTTGGGGTGATTTAGTTCATGTCCTTGCTGCCTTCATCTCATATAAATACTTCATTTATGTGTTTGGGAGACAGAAACCAATCCTGGAAATGTTTATCCAAGAGACATTACATGCAAAATAGTTGAACAAGCAGTAAGATCCCTTGAAATGTCGAGACATGGGTTCTTTGCCCACAAGCTGCTGTTGAAAACTAGAGAGGGAGGACAGATGAATTAGAAAGGGAGGACAGAATCTAGTCTTTCGTAATGTGCTTCCCTGTTGTAAAGAGTAGTTGGGAACAGAGCAGTGGAAAGGTCCTTGCCACTAGGAAAGGGGGGAGCAGGCATCTAGGTAATTGAGGGGGAGTTTTCATTGCTTTACTGATGTTCTTTTTTAATATCATTGGCATTCAGTGACATATACACACCACCCCCATTAGAACCCTCCCTTGTAACACATAGGTAGTCAGGTCAAACAAGTCAGTAAATTTGCCACATGTGACAGTGTGTACCTCATTCCATACCTGTAGTCTACCTCTGCTCTGCCAAGAGGTGGGAGGCATGTTTCACATGTGGCTGATGTTAAGGAATTTTACTTGAAGAGGAAAATAAGAATTAAGTCCTCTTCTTCCAAACTGAATGTTCTTTTTTTCTTAATTTAAAAAAGGCACAAACTCAAAACACTAAGAGGTTATGTTTTTGTGACATAGACCAAAGACCAGCATTTCTGATTCATAGGGGGGAAAAAGAGAAAATTCAAAAACTGAAAATAGCTGGTAGTAATAGAAGGGCTAAAACTAGTTCTTATATATCTTAAATAACACAGGTGGGTTTTGGGGTTTTTACCAAAGGTTAAAGGGTAGAAAAGATGAGAATTTTCTGCATCAGTGCATTCAAATAAAAGAAATTAGGAGTGTATTGATGCTGTTAGTTTAAGGGGTTTAAGAAGATGCCACATTTGAAATATAGGTGTTTGAAGACAGGAGAAAGACAAGTTTTATATAGGCCCTGGTTGTTCAGAAAACATGCTAATTCCAAATGTGTCAATTCACTTGAACTGACCAAATCCATGATAGCAGAAAGTGACTTTTATCCTTTCTTCCTGGTAGAGTTAAATCCTTAAGAAGCGACATATTTCTTTGTGATTTGAAAGTGTATTGGGTTGATATTTGCTAAGACCTAATGAATGGCTAGCCTACCATCATGAATACCTTGATGAAGACAGATGTCCCTGTGCTGCTCCCTGTGTAACTAATAGGAGCCATACTGTACAGACTGCGATATTTATGACCATCTTTATCTAGTAGATATCTTCAAACATAGCCTACATAACATGTGGAATTGGAGTATAGTTTCCCATAACACTTTCCTCATGAGTTGGGTTTTCTTTGATTCATTTTGTGTTTTTCCTAGAAGTGAGTAGGTTCATTAGAGGCAGCAGTGGTCTTTGAAAGACTAAGTACCATTCTTTAATCAGAAAACCTCATGCAGGAAATCAGCTTTTCTTGGGTTAAGCCTCCAAATTATTACCAAACATACATGCCTTAACTGGGTGTAGAGTAACTCATTTCACCTTGGTTTTAAATTGGAAATGTCCGTCACTGTGACTTTGGTCAGACAGGCATTTTTACAGTTTTGCTGAAGAATAATTCTATAATAGTTCTCAGAATACTTGTTGAGCAGCAGGATGAGGGCTTTTTATCTGATTTGGATCACAGGTCTTTGATAGTAGCAGTATAATATGCTTAAATGTACTTTCAAGGGTGTGTTCACATTTTGTACAAGATTTTGAACTAAAATTGCTTCATTCTGTGAAAAAAAAAAAAGATATATCTACCCACAGACATATCCACTATGACCTTGAAGAGAAAATTCAAACTGTTGCCTTTGGATGTGGTCCAGCCCACAAATTGAATCCTCTCTTCAAGCTCAGCCTAACTAAGCATGGTATGACTCATCATCATACACCAATCACTTGGTGATAAACTCTTTGACCATGGAAAACCCCCAAATAAAGAAAAATACAAAATGGTCTTTCTTTCCTTCCAATTCTATAAAGACAATGGCAAAGTGATGGAGAAGGGAGCAGAAGGTGCCAACAGTCGTAGTTTTTAGATAGTCTTTCATAAGGTCATGGATTCGGAGCTGGGAAAGACTTTAGGAGTCATTGAGTCCAGCTCTTTCATTTCACAGATAAGGAAACTGAGGCACCAAGAGGTTACTTGTTTTTTTTACCCAGAATCACAGTTATCCATAACATAGGTGAAACTTGAGCCCAGACTTCCAGCTCTGAAGTCAGCTCTCTGTGCATTATGCCTCGCTATCTCATAGATATTAAATTAAATATTAAATATTTAAATATTCATTCAACTCATTGGTACTCTAAATATGAGGTCTTTATCCAATACTAATAAGTAAATGTACATCCAAGCAGGACTTGATCATATGAATCTTGACATGCTCACTATAAACAGAACCTCAAGAAAAACAAGAGATGATGAAGGAGAAACAGTGTAAAGAATGTCATGAAAGAAACCAAAAGTGAAAAGGAATATGGACGAGTTACAAAGTGAGAGCTGAGATAATCCTGCACTTCATTTGTATTCTCATAGTATCAAGAGGTTAAGGGGGAGACCTCCAGCTAACCCTGTGGCAGACTTACGGGAAGAAACAAGGGACAGTCAGTAGCCAGGCATGGGTGGGATGCATCCTGCATCCCTGGAGTAAACAGCCTCATCAGTAACACCACAGATGTAGCTGCGTATCGGAGTGCTCTGTTCTATGCTTCCCGAGTGCACTACTGTTTTCTAAGATATTGCTCTTCACTCTCACTAGTCATCCAATGACATGACAGTGGTAGCCCGCCCAAAAAGGGGGGAGTACTAAATCCATTTCTGGGCAGGCTCAGACTTTGAGAATGTCAGGTCACATAGTACCTAGAGGCTGCTTGCAGTGATCAGTGAGATTTTGAAAGATGCAAAAGGGAAGCTAGGTGGCTCAGTGGATAGAGCACCAGGGCTGGAATCACGAAGACCCGAATTCCAATCGGGCCTCAGACACTTCCTAGCTTTGTGACCCCAGGCAAGTCACTTCACCCTGTTTGCCTCAGTTTCCTCATCTGTAAAATGAGCTGGAAAAGGAAATGGCACACCACTCCAGTATCTTTGCCAAGAAAACCCTGAATGGGGTCACAAAGAGTCAGATGAAACTTTTAATAAATGACTGAACCAAAACAACCATAATAAAAGGTTAAAGCCTGGCAGGAAGGGTTTGGACTCCTTGATCAGTTCCAAAATGAAAGCAGAAAGCCCAGGGTCCAACAGCAAGGTCCTCTGAATCAGTTATGAAAAGGCATTATAATTTCTGAGTAATCAAGATTAGCAAAACCCAAGCCCCAGGGCTGCCAGTGCTAGGATCCCAAGGATATCCTGGTTTCCTCCCTGTGAGTCAGAGTGACTTTTATACGCTCTATATTATCATCTGGCTTTCTTTCCCAGCCCAACTCTTCTCTACTCCCTACTTGGTTTTCTTCCCTGGCTAGCTTTTCTATAGATCAGGACTGCTACTCACAAACAAGTGACTATACACAGGTGTCTCAGTGAATAGAGTGCTGGGCCTGGAATCAGGAAGACCTGAGTTCAGATCCAGCCAGTGACATTTACTAGTTGGGTGATCGTGGGCAAGTCACTAAAACCCTGTTTGTCTCAGTTTCCTCATCTGTAAAATGGGGATAATAACAGCATCTACATCCCAGGGTTGTTGTGAGGATCAAATGAGATAATAATTGTAAAGCACTTAGCACAGTGCCTGGCACACAGTAAGAGCCACATAAATGTTAGCAATTGTTATTATACATGTTTTCCAGATAGAGGCCCATTAGTCAACTCTGCCACTGCATTCACAAGTGAACATGGTAGGAGAGGTGAATAATTTGTGAGAAACATTTTCATTTGTGTCCAGCAGGGACTGAGGTTGCATAGAGGAAAGTGTGTCCCTGATCACAGAAGGAGAGGAGAGTGGTTTCTATTTCTATTCTGGATCCACTCAGAAAACAGCTTTGTAAAAGCACACTGGTGTTAAATTGATTAAATGAAATTATGGCACCAATCATTTGTGATTGATATTGGGAGGATAACACGAGAATCAAGTTTGAGCCAAAAGCATTAATGAAACCACATAACCCTTGAGGTACCCCTAGATTCCTGAGGAAAAGAATTAGCCTTGCTCTGGGGGCCTCAACCTCTCCCATGGGAATGAGAGTTAGAATAAGGACCCCCAGAGTTTTTACAGGCTACACTTAAGACTTCTCCTGCATAATGCCTTGTTTGTAACATGTTGCAGCCCACTCATCTGCCTTGTATCTTTGGAGACTCCAGGATTCCATTGTTTACAACTGTACAATATCACCAAACGACAACTGGTGTTTTAAAAAAAATGGATTTTTGTTTCATGGAGAAGATTGGTAGTCATTAGAAGCACTGAACAGTTTCCCAAAGGCAATCTAGCCTTCTCCCCTCTGCCTATTCAGTTCTGAGCTCAGTTCATTATCCATCTGCAGCCTCTGTCCATGAGTCATATGCAGATACACGAATTCTATAGGTTGTCCATCCAACTGAATATCCTAGTCCGGGTAATAGACATTCTTCACCCACTTGATTTTTCCTTCATAATGAGGTCAAATTCTTTTAAAGAGCTATGGATCTCACTTAAGAGGCACTGCAATTTTCCAATCAACCAATCGAAAATATTTAAGTGCCTACTAAGTTCCAGGCATTGAGCTAGGTACTAGGGATAAAATGGCAA